CAAGTGAGCAAAAGTTTTAAAATTTCTGCTCGTCGTTTTTCCATGTAGGAATTTTTTGGTGGCGAATGTGCGAAACCAACACCTGCCTCCCATATATACTCACAACTGTCTATATTGGCCAACTCTTCAGCCTTGTCGGGCCCGGCACGACGTGTTGCAGGTACCGTGAAATCAGGACAAAAAAGCAAATCACACAAAGCATTTATCAACGATTGGGCCAAGGGTACTGGCTGTGGGCCTGTATGTCGTGGCGAATTTTCACGAAGGATATCTGCTGCGTCAGCAGATGTGGGTGTACTGCGCGTAGGCAGACTACTCCAGAAAAAGTCACGCCATTTTTCATCTTCAAATATGTACGGTAATATGCGTATTAATAGTCGTACACAATTCAAAACACATTGCTGTTCCACATGTGTGCGGCAACTGTTATCCACGGCCAGGGCCAACTTTTCCACGGCCTTGTAACACAATGTCGCCAAGTTGGCAGGATTTTCATTACGTATATTTCGTATTTCGGCTGATGTGACCAAGGCGAAAACATCTTCTAAAGAAGTTTGATGTGCGTACCAAAATTGGTCCCAAAATTGATCGTCGGTGTCATCAATTTTTTGGTTTTTCTGTGTGAGTTGTACTATGGCTTTGCGGAAGTTCAATTTTGAGTCAGAATTTCCCATATACGGAAGGCGTTATGTGCGTACTTCAACTTGTGTTCAAAGTCTCGCATAGTCATCTTTGTTTTTTTTTTTTTTACTATAAACATTTAAATATATGCCACTCCAGTAACATTAAAATTCGGTGATACTTGCGAGTCAGCGAGCGTAAACCAAGCTAAACCAATGCACATAGCAATTGCCGCTGCAAAGTCTAGTGGTCCATAACGTTTCCCTTGTATTAAAATACTGCGAAATATGTCGTACGTGTGAGAAATCGTCTCAATACGAATGCGAAGTTCTTCATCTACTTCAAGGCGAAGTAGCACGATTAGATCAAAAGTTTAAACTTATGCTTGACAGCACAGCTCAAAATAATCCAAAATCTATAAAAGTGATTTGTTGTCTCGATGACAAACGTTTACCATGCGTACCACCAATTACTGTAGCTATTCCAGAGGAATACCCGTCAGTATCGCCATCTTGTGCATTGGCTCAGCAAGAATATGGTACCACTCCGTTTTTAAAAGCTGTGCAGGCTGCATTTAAAGCACGAATTGCAAAATTGCCAAGATTGTATTCGTTGTCACATTTGTTGGATACTTGGGCTTGATGTTGGTGGTGGCTGCATTGACGCGTTATCTGTTATGGCTGACTTTTTGGGTGCCGTTGATTCAGGTACAGGTATTCTGCTGGCTGTAACCATCATCTATCAGTACTTCGAAATCTTCGTTAAGGAGCAATCGGAGATGGGTGGCATGGGCACTTTACTGTTTTAAGTTGGGGGTGCGCTGTACATTATTCTAATTAATGTTGTTTATAAGATGTGACTCACTCAAAATTGAACAATATCTATCCCCGAAAATATAAACCAATTGCCATATCGCTTTCAGCGTCATATGCAAAAGTATAGCTCGGTGCGTCTAACCCGTCATTACAATTATCGCTTCCAACTCAATGGCCAAATCGCTCAAGATCGTAACCATTGTACACCCATATCGCACAATGGTAAGTCATCGGATTATGAACCAGGAATAACCGCAGGTGATGCCGATAAAGAAGACAACCAAAATTATGCAGCTGCCACTGCACTAATGATTATAACAACAATAATTCTCATATTGGTGGAGGTGGAAACTGCAAGTTTACTAATACACAAAGGACTAATACCTACGAGCGGAACTGGCGCCGGAACTAATGCCGGAAAAATGGGTGAGTTAGACATATCCCTTTAAAATATATGCATATGTATGTATAGATATTTTTTTTTTTTTTTTTTTGAACTATAGTCTTTGCTGGTAGGTTTTGACAATTGAGGCGAACTCATTTGGTCTAATGGGTTGACTGACGATTATCGAAACCTGTCAAGTAAAATGTATTCGCTTCCCATCAGACCTAGTTGTGTTGAAAAACGAGCAAGCATAATGAACAATTGTAACGACTTTCAACTTATTTCGCTTATTATTATATTTTTTGGAGGATTTTAATTGATAATTCGCACCTCGTTACCAATTTCGTATTTCTGAAACAATTGTTCATCAAGCTTGGTCTGTCTTATTTTTACCCGATTCATCACGCTGGGTCTGTCTTATTTTTACCCGATTCTATGCTTACAAGATCTAACGATGGTCGGTTCTTTATACCCAGATCTACCCGGAGAGGCCGGGCTAAGAACCATCACCAAAAATCTAACTAAAACACGACTACCTTTAATATTGCTCTGAGTTAAACTCGATTATAGGCGTTGAATCCTTCCGAATGCATAGAAGTGGAATTTTTGTGCGATGAGGAAGTGGAATTCACGCGGGATTGGGGATCAACGGAGAGGGTTTATTTACGAAGTGCTTGCTGGCTCCTCGGTTTCTTGATTTTGGGATGGAAGTAGGACCAGTTTGGCCAGCGGTCTCGTAATCTGCCCTTTTTCCGTGATGATGTCAACTACGCGTACTCGATCGTCGGGACCAGGATGTAGGCTGATAATTCGACCTAATCTCCACTCATTTGACGGGAGGTTGTCTTCCTTGATGACAACGAGATCTCCTAATTTTATATTTTGCTGTGGATATTTCCACTTAATCCGCTTTTGCAGTTCGGATAAATATTCGGTTTTCCATCGTTTACAAAAAGTTTGGTGAAGGGCCTTTAGCTTCTGCCACCGATTTACTATCGAGGCAGGATTCTCGTGAACGTCGATTTCAGGTGGGGCTAGCAGGTGTCCACCGGTAAGAAAGTGACCTGGAGTGAGAGGCTCCAGGTCGGTAGGTTCATTCGAAGCGGGGCTCAATGGTCGTGAGTTGAGGCACGCCTCAATCCGACATAAAAGAGTACTGAACTCTTCAAAGGTATACTTATGAACGGATGCAATCTTTTTAAAATGGCTTTTAAAGCTTTTTACCCCCGCCTCCCATAAGCCGCCCATATGAGGAGCAGCGGCGGGTATGAAATGCCATGTGAGCATTTGATAATTGTATTTCGAAACTGCTTTTTCACGCGAATCTGCTAAAAATGCCTTAAATTCAGATCGTAAAGATCGTGAAGCTCCGACGAAGTTTGTACCATTGTCGGAATATATGTTCTTCGGGCATCCTCTTCTGGCTACAAACCTGGCGAATGCAGCTAAAAATGATGGAGTGCTGAGGTCACTAGTTGCTTCCAAATGGATCGCTTTTGTCGTAAAACAGACAAAAAGGCAAACGTATCCTTTGGACATTCGACAACCTCGGCCGCTATAACTTTTGATGTCAAAGGGTCCTGAAAAATCTACACCTGTATTCGTAAACGCGCGCGAAAATGTGGTTCTCTCCTGAGGGAGAATTCCCATAAGCTGGGTTTGCGTACGTTTTTTGTATATCGTACAGACTTTGCAGTTATGGATTGTGGATTTGATCAGATTTTTAACTCTGGGGATCCAATACTGAGTTCGGATAAGGCGAAGCATGAGTTGATTTTCCCCATGCAAAGAGACTTGGTGAATAAAGGACACTATTAGACGGGACAACCTGCAGTTATAAGGAATAATTATTGGATGCCGCTCGTTATACGCTAAGTCTTGAGACGCTCCAAGACGCCCACCAGCCCTAATAATGCCATCTTTATCTATGAACGGATTAAGCGGTAGGAGTTCACTCTTGGAGTCGATGGAGTTTCCTGCTTTAAGTTTCCTGTATTCTTCACTGTAATAGTTCTGTTGATATATTTTTATCAAGCGTTGTGTCGTTGCTTTAATTTCATGGGATGAAATTAAGCGTGACTTTTCTTGAAATGAAGCTTTCGTATTTCGATGCGTTCTTTGAGAGAATCTCATAACATATGATAATACTCTCAAAGCTCTCGGAAAATCTGAAAAACGGCCAAGAATATCGGTATAATTTACTTTGGTTGTATAAACGTGCGTTCTTTTTTCCTCAACTACTGTGCTGTAGTCTGTTTCCTGGGTGGGCCATTTTGGGTTATCTTCTTGTAACCAAGAAGGTCCCTGCCACCACAACGAATTGTTGACCAATTCATATGCTGGAAGTCCTCTGCTCGCTAAGTCTGCTGGATTTGATGCCGAATCCACATGCAGCCAATTCTTGTTTCCGACTTTCTCTACAATTTTTGTGATTCTATGGGCAACGAAAGTTGACCATGAACACGGAGGCTTACGAATCCAAGCGAGAACAATTGTGGAATCGGTCCACAGATGTATGTTGATATGCCCTAAGTTGAGATTGTTGATTATTGAATCAACTATTTCCGCCAATAGTACCGCTCCGCAAAGTTCCAGTCGGGGTAGCGATATGGTTTTAACAGGAGCAACTCTGGTTTTTGCCAAAAGCAGGTTAATAAAAACTTTGCTATCTCTTTTGACACGCATATACACAGAGGCGGCATATGCTTTCTCCGATGCGTCACAGAATCCGTGTATTTGTATTTCATCCGTTGGAGAAAAGTATACCCATCGCGGTATACGAACCTTATCAATTTCGTTATAATGTTGGGTAAAGTTCTGCCATCGGTCTAGAGTGGTCGAAGACACAGTCTCATCCCAATCTGTGCCTTCCAGCCAAATATTTTGCATAAGGATTTTGGCTACGATTATATGGCAGATAGTATCGCTCTTTTCGTAACAGCATCGCTTTTCTCCAATGGCCTTGCTATAAAATAGAAAAGATCCGTATGGGCATTCCATCTTATTCCAAGAGCCTTGACTGCGCTGGTATCTTCAAATGCCAAAAAATCTTCGCTAAGTAGATCTGTTTTTGGTATGCCATTAAGTATTTGCTCGCTATTGGCTGTCCACTTTCGAAGTGGAAAACCGGCTGATTGCAACACTTCCGATATCTCATCTCTGGCTTTTATTGCTGAATCGATAGTGTGTCCACCAGACAATACATCGTCGACATACATGCATTTTCGTAGTATGTTAGAGGCTATTGGATGGGAGCTTTGCACATCGTCAGCTAATTGTAAAAGTGTCCTTATAGCCAGATAAGGAGCACAATTGATGCCGAACGTGACAGTCTTTAATTCGTACAGACTGATCGGGTCATTCGGGTTAGTGCGAAAAATAATCCTCTGATACTTAGTATGGTTGTTATGTACCAGAATTTGCCTATACATCTTCTCGATGTCACTGTTGAACACATATTTGTATAGTCTCCAACGGAGTATTAGTATCGGAAGATCTGCCTGAAGTACTGGTCCTGGGAAAAGTACGTCATTTAGGCTGTTGCCATTCGCCGTTGGGCTTGAGGCATTGAACACCACGCGTACTTTCGTTGAAGTACTTTCTGCCTTTATAACAGCGTGGTGCGGCAGAAAATAATTATCAGACGAGTCTGCGGGTATGGGATTTGTTATTTTCGACATATGCCCAAGCGTTTCATATTCCGCTAGAACCCTATTGTATTCCTTTTGCAGGACGGGATCCTTGGCCAGCCGTGTCTCATTCCGGTAAAATTGAGAACATGCTCTTTTAAGGGATGGGCCTAGGGAAATATTTCCTGGAAAATCTTTCCTAAATGGTAGTGACACGATGTATTTTCCTTTATTATTTCGTATGGTTGTCTTCTGATACAGCTCCTCGCAGTACTTGTCGTCTTCATTAAGGCTCTTGTTCTTTGGAATCTCCTCAAGCTCCCAAAAGGCACTCAATTGCTTGTCCAGACTAGCTTCGCTGTAGTATGAGACGATATTCGTTCCTGGATTCGAGGTATCAGTTCGCCCTGTTATTATCCAGCCAAATACTGTTTCTTGGGCCAGAAGTGTGTTTAATATGTTTTTCTTAAGCCCGCTCAGAATAATTTGTGGATATATGTCGCCACCCAGAACAAGGTCTACGGGTTCATTGACGAAAAATCGTTTATCCGCTAGAATTAGATCTGGAAATGCTTGCTTAGTCACTGCACTAATGTGGCAAGTAGGAAGATTTCCAGTCAGTTGTGCTAGCACGAGCACAGAGGTATTTAAGCGGAACAACGGGTCAACAGGAGACCGCAATTCGATGTTGCACGCTTCTTTAACCTGCGCCGTAGTTGTATTAGTGATGCCCGAAACTTGGGCATGCATACGCTTTGACGGCAAGTGAATTCTGCGTTTTAGTCTTTCAGTAATGAAAGAACACTCTGAACCAGAATCAATAAGTGCTCTAGCGGAATAGTTCGTACCATTGAGATAAATGTTGACGCGTGCTGTCCCTAATAACACACCTGTGTTTGTATTCGCATAGCAAGACTTCACGTTTTTGCTTGTATGCTTGTTTGACTTTGTTGAATTGCGTTTGGCTTGGGCCTGATTGGATGTTGATGCAGAATTAGTCGCAGAATCCAAAGAGGTCCCAAGTGTCGTTGCCTTTGTTTGAGCTGTCTCAATATGAAGGAGCGTGTTGTGTCGCGAGTGGCACTTTATACAATTAAATGGGTTTGTGCATCTTGACACGGTATGTCCAGTACTAAGACAGTTCAGGCACCATTTTTTGCTTTTCAAAAAATCGATTCTATCAGCAGGTGTTTTGTTGAGGAATTGTGGACAGTTGCGTAACTTGTGCTCATTAGTTTGGCACATTTGGCAGGTGAACTTGCTCACGCTTGCCTGAAAGGCTCCTAGCCTTTTAGTGTTAGCTTCCTGGTGGTGCCGTGCGGGTTGGTGCTTTGGAGCTTTCACAGTTGTTGTACCCTTTAGCCCCGCTAGAGTTTCCAAAGTTTGGAATCTATTGGATAGGAACCTGTCCATATCCTCCCACTTTGGAATGTCAGTTTTCTGGTCTATGGTCTGTTCCCATAGGGCCAGTGTACTTTCTGGAAGCTTCGTTGAACACCAACCCGCACGGCACCACCAGGAAGCTAACACTAAAAGGCTAGGAGCCTTTCAGGCAAGCGTGAGCAAGTTCACCTGCCAAATGTGCCAAACTAATGACTGCAGAAGAGTGATGATTTCCTACTTCCACCTGTCTTTTCCCACCCACTCAATCATTCCATCATTCCAGCTTTTTATTTTTTTTTTTTAATGAACAAATGGGCAGAAAAGCGTGTTACTCAGGTGTACGTGGCGTATGAGTAACTTACTTTTCTTTCAGTCCTATCGGAGAGTGGTGTATATATGGTTTATGGAGAATTTTATTAGCTTTGATTTGATGTATCTCCATTTATCTATACTAGTGTTCGCCCAGCGGTCGAAATTCAACCGCTAAAATTAAGGATAGTTTATGTGAGTTGAGTTGGGCTGAAATAAAATTTGTTGGAATGGGTTAAGTGGAGGGGAGTTTAGCTTAGTACTTAGCATAACATAACATAGAATAGCATTAGATTCAATAACATATCATATGTAGCATAACACATCACAATATAACATCGCACATTCTTCAGTTGTATTTCCTTTTGATCCCTATCACTTTCTTCCTCATCGCTTTTAATGTTTATGTTTATGTTTATCTACACCTTCATGTTCATGTTCATGTTCATTTTCATGTTCATGTTCATGTTCATGTTCATCTTCATTTTCATGCTCATGATCATGTTCATGTTCATGTTCATGTTCATATTCATCTTCATCTTCATCTTCATCTTCATCTTCATCTTCAT